GAGCTTAAAGGTGAATGAAGGAACAGAGAGTGACACCGAGGGTAAATGTATGGTAAATTCAAGTGAATACCGATGGCCCAAAACATCATGACATATGATGGGTTTTAAAATATGTACAGGATTGAAATACACAAACCAAATGGTACATAACTCTGGAGGTAGAGTCGGGGTAGTTGAAGGAGCAGTGGGCCTGTGTCGTCTGGAACGCGGTGAGCCTACGTGTTTATGGTAAACTGTAATAGGTTATGAGTGTACATGGTAATCTTAGGATGACCACTAAGAGAAGGAGAACATAATTTACAAATTTGAAATTAATGGAGGAGAAAATACAAACTAAAAGATATATATATATATCTATATATCTATATCTATATATCTGGATTATATGGATTATATATATATATATATATATATATATATATATATATATATATGGATTATATATGGATTAGGGGCTCCTGCTTGGCTCACTCAGTTAAGCGTCTTGACTTGATTTCGGTTAGGGTCATGATCTCACGATTCGTGGAATCCAGCCCCGTGTCTCACCCTCTCTCTGCCCCTGACCTGCTCACACGCATGCTGCTCTGTCTCTCTCAAAATAAACATTTAAAAAATATTAAGTGCACCCCAAAGTTGGAAAGGAAATAGAAAGTGAATGTGGACCTGGTAGGCAAACAGAAAACAGCAAGTAATATGGCAGATTTGCAACTCAGTGAACTGGGATTTTCATCTGTTGTCAAGGCCCCGAGGTTCCAGTTAAAAGAGAAAGATGGATGAAGGAGTTGTTTTCTGAAATTTCAGCGATTCGCTGTTGACAAGAAGTGCACTTAAAATACGGCCACGGGAAGACCGAATGCAAATGAGTGGACAAGAACCTTCTCACGACTTTGAACCAAAACAAAGTTAGTATATACAACTAGATGGATGTTCAGTTGTTGGGCTTACCAGCAAAATATGTTAACAATTCTAATGTGTAGGCACCTGATGCAGTCGCTTAAAAACAAAGCAAAACTGGACAAAGTTAAAATCAGCGTGTTACCTCTAGGAACCCAGAGAACAGGCAGATAATAATTTTTTTAAAAAGACACAGGAGATTTGTACACCACGATTAACAATCGGACGTAGTCGCCATACACAAAAGACTGCACCCAGCCACCGCAGAATGCCCGTTCTTTCAAGAACATAGGAAATTTTACAAAAATGGAAGGTAAGGTGAGCCACAGACTCAAGCATTTTGAAAGAAGGAGGCTATACAGAGTATGTACTCGGGCCACAGTGAAATTAGGTTAGAAATCACATATATTAACAAGACAAGGCAAAATAAAGCAAGAAAACATTTTCTAAGTTTATTTATTTTTGAGAGAGGGAGAGAGCGCACACGCATGAGCGGAATGGAGGACAGAGAGCTGCGGGTGGGGGGGAGAGAATCCCAAGCAGGCTCCACTCTCTGAGCTGTCAGCACAGGGCCTGATGCGGGGCTCGAACCCACGAACTGTGAGATCATGACCTGAGCTGAAATCAAGAGTCAGATGCTTAACCGACTTAGCCCCCGGGTGCCCCTGAATAGGAACAGTAAAAAAAACAAAACTCTCCACGAGTTTGGAAATTAAGAAACACAGTTCTAAATAAACCACAGGTCAGAGTGGAAACCACAATAGAAAATTAAACATATTTCTAACTGGATGGGGAAGAAAAGATTACATATCAAACAACTGTGCGACGCAGGCACGTGAAGCTCAAAGGGAAATTTATATCTCAGATCCCTGGTTGAATATATGTATGGCTGAAAATAAACTATATAAAAACTGTCTTACAAGGAAGCGCTTCTGCCTAACCAGCTGAGGACGTCCCCGCTCTCTGCTTGGACTCAGTGTTATGCTGAGGCCCCTCGCAGTGAGATAAGCAAACAAAAGGCATGAAGCCTGGAAAATACGAAGTAAAACTGTCTTTAAATGACATGATGGTCCTATCCAAAATACTAAGGAAGCCAACCCAAAATTGTTTGAACTACTGAGTCGAGCAATATTTCTAGATATCAATAACTTAAAAAATGATTTCTAGATCTGCAGCAAGTGATTGGAAATGAAATTGAGAGATCCATTTCCATCCCTTTGAAAAAAATTGAAATACTTAGGAATAAGTTTAATAAAAGATAGGCAGAGCTTCTGGAAAATGCAAGAGATGGCTGATAAAAGTTATAGACGACCTCGCAGATAAAGGAGGCTGTGTAGAGTACCTGTGGATTGGCACGGTGCATGTTTCAGATGTCCATTGTCCCCAAATTGATATATACGTTCAACCTAGTACCGGTCATATTCCCAGCAGTTTAAAAAAAAAAAAAAAAGACTCTATATTTTAGATGGTTTTAGGTTTGCAGAAAAACTGAGCAGAAAGCACAGAGTTCCCACATACTTCTTCTCTCCCCTGCTGCCGACTTTTCCGTACTGTTCACACCTTGCATTAGCGTGGTGTTTCTGCTGTAACCGATGAGCCAGCTTTCCAACAAGTTCTTTTTTTTTTTTTAAATAGAAACTGACAAGTTTATTTTTAAATTTACATGTTAGCCCAAACGACCTGTAATGGCCAAAACCATCTTCAAAAAACAGAACCGGAGAAACTATCTACTACCTGACTTCGAGATGTCCTTTGTAAAGCTGCGGTAATCTCGACCGCGTGGGTCTGGCGTGGGGCAGAAGAGGGGGGCATAGAAATGGACATGTGCAGTCAATTGATTTTTGGTGAAGGCATCCAAACAATTCAGCCTGGAAGGAAGTCTCTTCGCCAAGTGGTTCCGTCACGACTGGGTACCCACGTGCAAGAAAATAAACCTTGGGGCGCCTGGGTGGCTCAGTTGGGTAAGCGTCAAACTTCAGCTCGGGTCATGATCTCACAGTTCCTGAGTTCGAGCCCTCAGTCGGGCTCTGTGCTGACAGCATGCAGCCTGCTTGGGATTCTATCTCTCCTTCTCTCTCTGCCCCTCACCCCCTCCCCCAAATAAATAAATGAACTGAAAAAAGAAAATGAACCTCAGCCTCTTGTCACACTGCACAGAAAAGTTAACACCGGGGGGCGGTGGTCACAGATCTAATGCGGAAGCTAAAATGGTAACGTTCCTAGAGGAGAGAGTAGCAGCATGACTCTGACCTACAGGTGGGCTCCGAAAATAGGAACAGGCAAGCCACGGGCTGGGAAGAAAACGTGCCCGACAGAGGACCTCTATCCAGAGCACACAAGAAGTTCAAGAACTCCGGAAGAAAACTGAGCCAGAGGCTTGGTGTTTACGCACCTTTTGGTACATTTGTCATGCTTCAGTAAAAACTTAATTATTTAAGAGAACCCAGAGGAAGTGTCAAGCTGAGGATGGAAAACAGCTGAAGAGGGAAGAGCCACCTGGGTGGTAAGTCGGAGGGTCTGAGCCAGCACGCGGCTCCGGGAGACCAGAGGGCCAGAGAGGGGGGAAGGAAGGGCAGACTCACCCAGCACACAGAATGAGAGGATCCCACCTGTCCCATGGTGAGAGAAGAAACACCTGTCCCACGGTGAGGAGCAAGGCACCATGGGAGCAGGCAGTGGCCTCACACGTGGGAAGTCGTGAAAGACGTTCCATCCATGGCCAGAAGTCCATCAGATGTCAAGCAGGATAGTTAGAAGGAAAACCGTACGGAGATACACCGTGGTTAAGTTGCATAACATCAGAAGCACAGTGGCCCGATTTCTTTCAAAGGAACAAGGGTTAGACCCACAGCTCATATTCAGCCACAGGAGTAGAGTTCGCGAAATAGTATTTTCAGCACCGATGGAAGATTACTTTCAATCTGGTGAAAATATCCTTCAAAACGTAGAGAACTAAAATCATTTCCAGGGCCCCCAGGAAACCCCACACAAGTGTGTTTGGCACCCGCGTAAAAGCGCTGAAGGGTGCTGTGAAGACTGTACTGTGGGCAGGACAGTTACCCGACAAGAGGAAAGAACACAGAGGCAGGGATACGTGCACATGAGTTTGAATGACCATTGGCTTTCTCTACCAATAATACTGTCTTGTGGTGTTGAAAAAAAAGAGAGAATTAAAATATACACTATATACAAGCTGGTGATGGTGGGATATGTGCGCGTCCCAAGGTCTTGGCGTTTTCCAGAAGCAGAGTAAAGATATTAATTCACTCTTGTGTGTCTCAATGTCTAGGCTGACCGCTACCATAATACAGTAAGAACGTATACTTTCCAACTAGTGTGGGGAAGGAAAATATAGAATCAGGAGAAATAACCCAAAAAGGGGAGGAGAAGACTAGTGGGAAATACCAAATGAAATGATAAGTATAAAATCGAACGTATCAGTCACAATACTTGCAAATAGCCTACACGGTCCAGTTAAAAGACAGATATTGCCAGACTGGATCAAGTCACACTGACCTGTTCCATCGCCCCTCTCTGGCCTTCTTTGGTCTTCTGGTTGGCTTTCCTAGAGTGCCCCTTCACGGCCTTCCTAGAAGTAAGCCTGTGTCCTGCCTCGTGACAGTCGAACTGGACCAATCAGGGGCGCCTGAGTGGCTCCGTTGGTTAAGCGTCTGACTTTGGCTCAGGTTATGATCTCGCAGTTCTTGACTTCGAGCCCTGTGTCTGGCTCTGGGCTGACAGCTCAGAGCCCGGAGCCTGCTTTGGATTTTGTGTGTGTGTGTCTCTCTCTCTCTGCCCCTCCCCAGCTTATTCTCTCTCTCTCTCTCTCTCCCCCTCAACAATAAATAAACATTAAAAAAAAAAATCAGACCAATAGGCCAACTCCAGAGCCGCATAAACCAGCTGAGTCAATTATAGTCAACGACATCCCACATGATACGCCACTCCTAGAAAGTGGTATTGCGTTCAACGCTTTCTCTGTTAAGCCGTACCCCTATCGCTGGAAGTCCTCATCAGAGGCTGGGAGGCCGCCCAGCAAGGGCGCTCCGAGGAGGAGCCGGGCTCCGGTCCACGGGTAGATGCGTGACAGTTTCACCCTTGCTTACCGAATGAAGACCTCCTCCATGGTGGTGACCGAGGCCCCGAAGCTGGCGATCCCCAGCTCCACCTGCCTCTGTTCCAACTCGGTAAATAGAGATGCAAACCTGGAAGGGAAGAGAGGTTTTATTCCTCACGGGTGCGAGGGGACCCCCCCCCCCCCCCCCCCCCCCCCCCCGCCCCGCCATCACCGTCACCCTGAGCTTTCCGCAGGGCAAACAGCGGGGGCTGTGGAGTCGAGTTGGACCTTGTTCAAATCTCAACTTGGTCGCCCTCTAGCTTCAGGACTCTGAACTTGAACCGGTGAGGATGAGGGTGACAGCATTTACTCCAGAATGTTTCTGTGAGGGTAAATCGCACACACACCTCGCACGTTGTGCGAATATCATTCCATCTCTTTCCTACTCTTTTTGGAGTGCTGACTAAGGGCCAGTGGCTGTTCCAAGCCCTTTTCCACCTATGAACTCCGTCAATTGTCTCCACAGCTCTTTGAAGACAGTGCTGAGGTTAAGTGACTTCCCCAAGACCACATAGCGGAGACAGGGCACAAACCCAGGCCATTCTCTCCAAAGACAGTGAGTGCTCTTTTTTGTTTTGGTTTTCCTACTGTTACGGTAAATGAGGAAAGGAGCTAATTCTTAACAACCTGCTGATCTCAAACCCTTCCTTATGCATGCATGAATGGATCGTGGCTTTTTGTGTGATATTAAGAAACCCACAATCTCCTATCTGCTCCCTCACAGCCCAGTGTCCAGGCCGGCAAAGTGCCTGTAAGAAACCCCGCTCGCATGCCTGATGCCCTCATGAGGCTGCGCAGCGTTCTCGTCCGCCCCCAAGGGCGGCAGGTGCGTTAAGAGCTTGCACAGTGCACTGACTGTGGCTGTGCTGTGACTATGTGCGGACTCTGCCGCTGCCTGGCTGTGTGACTCTGGGCTAGCTCTTTCACGTCCCGAGTCTCTCCTCATCTGTAGGGTAGAGACTACCTCATGCACCGAGTCGTAAAGAGCACAGTGAACATAAGGACACCTTGCAGAGCAGCCGGCCTGTGCTGTGTGTTCAGTGTCGTTTACTGAAATTGTGCTCATGGATTGCTACTGTCTTGCAACAAAGTCAGTATGTCCCTTCTGAAAAATTGGAGCAAAGTTTTCACGTAGTGAGATGCCTTGTTCTCGTGTCAGTCAAGAGGTGATGTTACTTTTTTAAAAAAAATTTTTCAATGTTTATCTTCCAGAGAGAGACATAATGTGAGTGGGGGAGGGGCAGAGAGAGAGGGAGACACAGAATCTGAAGCAGATTCCAGGCTCTAAGCTGCTAGTGCAGAGCCCGATGTGGGGCTCAAACTCACGAACTGTGAGATCATGACCTGAGCTGAAGTCGGACCCCCAACCGACTGAGCCACCCGGGTGCCCCAGGAGGTAGGCCTTTCCGTCACCCTACACAGTGCTCCTGCTGCCCCCTCCAGAAGGTTCTGTCTCCTCCCCGCAGATGACCAGTGTCTCTATTTCCACCACCAGAGGTTCCCCATACCCGGTCTTTGTCTTCACATAAGTGGAATCTTCGTCTACTTTGGGTCTGGTTTCCTCTATGCAACTTGTTTCTGAGGTTTGACCGTGTGGTTTGCGCGCATTGCTAGTGTATTATTGTTCATTGTGTGTCTCTGTGGGTGAGTGTTCACCAAAAGCAATATGCCCCAGTGTGAGTGCTGGTTCTCCTGCTGACCGACATTTGGGTGGAAGTGATGGGGGTCGGGTCAGAGGAAGCCCACGGGCTCTGCCGTGGTTTCTCGGAGCCCTGGGCCACCGTGCCTGGGAGGATCGCGTCCATGTGCTGCCTACCGGTCCCAGCTGGAAGGCTTTCCGGGAATCCCCGCTGAGGCCCCAGACCTGGGTGTGAAGCCGTCCTGGGATCCCCAGGTAGGTCCATTTGCCAGCTCGTAATTTTGCTAAAGACTTTGTGTTCGTGTTCATGTGCCAGAGTTTTGCTACTGGAGACTCATGCCCTTAAACGGGTTGGGAGCTGCTCCCTTCTCTCTCTCTCTCTCTCTTTTTTTTAAATTTCCTCGGCGTTTGATGGGACCTGGCATTTTCTTTTCGGGAACGTTTGTCATTGCAGATTTGATCTCGTCAGTAGATGCACGGTGATTCGTCTTCGTCTTTCCCACCTGGTGTCAGTTTTGGTGGATTGTCTTTTTCAAGGAATCAGCCTGTTGTATCCAAATCCAATTTGTCTGTGATCTTTTCTCCATGTCCCATCCTGACTGTGCAGTCGGTGTGCGGAATGGTCTGTTCATTCCTGTGGCTGGTTCTTGTCTTTTCTTCTTTTTTTCTTTAATGGCTTTGGCAGAAGCTTGTCACTTTTATTAATATTTTTAATAAACAATGTCTGGCGATTTTAGATTTCTCGATTTTTTCTTTTGCTTCTTATTTCATCATTTGCTCTCCTCGTATTTATTATTTCTTTCCTTCTCTGTATTCTGAGCTTCCTTTCTCTCTCTTTCTCTCTCTCTCTCTCTCTTTCTTCCTTTTTTAGAGAGAGAGAGTGGAGGAGGAGCAGAGAAACAGAGAGAGAGAGAGAATCTTAAGCAGATTCTTAAGTGCTGAGCATGTGCTGAGCATGGCGCCAGATGTGGGGCTCGATATCACAACCGTGGGATCATAACCTGAGCCAAAATCAAGAGTCAGATGCTTAACTGAGCCACCCAAGCACCCCCCGAATCATTACTGATTCCTCTTTGACCCATAAGCTGTTCAGAAGTGTGGTGTTGCATTTCCAAATATTTGTGGATTTTCTAGGTATCGTTTTGTAATCAAGCGCTAATTTAACTCCGCCGCTTGTGTTTTGGGGAGGCTGGGTCATGGCTGAGGGCCTACGTGTGAGACAGGGACGCCAGGAAGACGGCAGAGTGGGAGGGACCCGGAATGTGCCCCTCCCCTGGCACGGCGTCGGCGCTGGCAGAATCTGTCTGATGTGTGTGCCACTGGAAGCTGTAGTCAGAGCCGTCAGGCAAGAAAAAGAAGTAAAAAGCATCCAAACTGGAGAGGAAGAAGTACAGTTATCTGTTTGCAGATGATATGATCTTATATGTAGAAAACTCTAAGATGCTACAAAGAAGCTGTTAGAACTAATAAGCGAATTCAGCAAAGTAGCAGGAGACAAAGTCAGCGCGCAAAAATCCATTGCATTTCTAAACACAATGAACAGATCTGAAAAGGAAATTATAAAAATAACCCCATTTCCTGTAGCATCAAAAAAAAATTCTTAGGAATCAGCGTAATCAAGGAAGTCAAAGACTTTTACGATGAAAACTATAAAACATTGCTGAAGGAAATGAAAGAAGTTGTAAATACATGGAAACACAGCCCCTGTTTATGGACTGGAAGACTTAATTTTGTTAAAATGTCAATACCAGCTGGAGAAATCTGCAGATCCAGTGCAGTCCCTACCAAAAAAGCAGTGATGTTGTTTGCAGATGTAGAAAATGCCATCCTCAAATTCATATGGAATCTCAAAGGACCCTGAATATCAAAACAATCTCAAAGGAGAACAAAACTGGAGGACTCATGCTTCCTGGCCATCTAAGAAGCGACAGCAATCCAAGCAGGGCAATATTGGCACAAAGGCAGACGGACGCATAGATGGAAAAGAACAGAGAGCCTAGAAATAAGTCCTCGCATTTATTGTCGAATAGTTTTCGACGAAGTTGCCAAGACCATTCAGTGAGGGGAAAAGGACAGTCTTTTCAACAGGTGGGGCTGGGAAAACTGGACATCCCCACACAACAGCATGACATGGGACCCTACATAACACCACATACAAAAACTAACTCAAAATAGATCGAGGACCTAAATGTAAGACCTAAAATCGACTCTCAGGAGGAAACATGGGACAGAGCTTCATGACATGGGATCTGGCGGTAACTTCTTGGCTGTGACACCAAGGGTATGGTAACACAAGAAAAAAATGAGCAAATCAGATGTCATGAAAATTAAAAAACAACAACTGTGCAGCAAGAAACACTATCATCAGAGTAAAAAGGCGGCCCAGCGGGTTCGATCCCCACGTCGGGCTGTCTGCTGTCAGAGCAGAGCCTGCTTCAGATCCTCTGTCCTTCTCTGTCTCTGCCCCTCCCCTGCTCACACTCTGTCTCTCAAAAATAAATAAAACATTTAAAATAAAAAGACAACGCACTGGATGGAAGAGAATATTGCAAATGCTATATCTAATCAAGGATTAATATCCAGAATATATAGAAAATTTCTAGTACTCAACGCAAAGAACAACTCGATTCAAAAATGGGCAACAGGGGGCACCTGGCTCAGGTAGAAGAGCATGCAACTCTCGATCTCTGGGTCGTGAGTTCGAGCCCCATGCTGGGTGTAGACATTACTGAATAAATAAAAGTTTTTTTTTTAAATGGGCAATAGACGTTGCTTCAAAGAAGACCTATGAATGGCGAGGAAATATACACCAAAGAATGGGAAGCAGGGTCGTGAATGGATACTTGTACACCCATGTTCATGGCAGTATTATTCACAATAGCTAACATGTGGCCCCAACCCACATGTCCGCTATGGATAAAGAACGTGGGGTGTGTGTGTGTGTGTGTGTGTGTGTGTGTGTGTGTGTGTGTGTAAGGGAAAAATATTCAGCCTTAGGGAGGAGGAAAATTCTGCAAGACGCCACGACATTGAACCTTGAGGACACTGTGCTTAGTGATCTAAGCCAGTCACGAAAGGACAGATCCAAAAGCCAATGGGAAAGTGCACGCTGGCACTCATAAGAGGCAGTGAGAGCAGTCCAGATCTTAGAGACAGAAAGTATATAACGGTGGGGGCCAGGGGCTGGGGAGAGGGCGGTGGGGAGTTCGGGTGCTCCTGGAAGTGACCCAGTGGAGACAGGAGTTGATGGTGTGGATGGGCGGGGTGAGTCAAGCAGGTGCGTTCCTGAGAACGCAAGGTGGGTAGACCCGCAGCTGGGGCTGAAGGGTGAGCCTTCAGCAGGAAGGGGACACGTTCTGGGCTGTTAAGAGACGGAAGGAAGAAAGGAGCGAGTGTGGGCTTGTGTGGGAGTGAGACGGAGTTCTTGTTTGGTGGCTCTCGACTTCATAGTGAAGTAGGAGGTAAGATTCCTACTTGAGAACAACATGATGCAGAGGACGGGGTGTTGGGGGGGTGCCGGGAACCTATCCGGGGTCTGAAATAATTAAAGAAAATCAGGAAAAACCTTCATCTGAGCTCAGTCATCCAATAAAAGGGCCCCTGTAAAGCCATATTTAAGAATTTGACTTTAACCTGAAGGCTTCTGGGAGCCATCGAGGGCTTTAAAGGATGGAGGTGACATGATCAGAGCCCCATATTTTCAAGTGTGCTTAGGCTGGAGTGTGCTGTCTCTCCAGGAGGTACCAAAGGCCTGGGGGTCCAGACCCTCACAGAACAGAGAGCTCTTGCTGAGGACAGAGACGGGGGATGGCTCTGGACAGTCCGTGCATGCACGCAGGCACTCCCGTGCACGCTCACAGGTACTCCCGTGCACACACACAGGTACTCCCGCCCCCTGGGGTCCGCACCTGGGCATGCTCTTTTTAGGAAGAATAAATGTTAATTCTTCTCCAATGCTGGACTGCATAACCGCATTGGGTATGTGGTGATAAATCAGATGGGCAATCTTCTCTGTGCTACAGTGAGGTTTCTTCACTAAAGTCATGTAATATCCTGCACCTGAAACAACATTTCAAAGAGCCTGAAATAATCTTACTCTTTGTAGCTGCACTTACTTTTTCTGTAGGTCAGAAGGGGCGGCTCCCTGGGAACGTGGAGCTGGAGGGCCCCGTGGGGTGGAATTGTTTTCACACAACGAACTGGCCTCTGAAGGCCGGTATTCTGGAGGGTCTGGCCTTCTCCTCCGTGACCGGAGGTGGTAATGACGGACTTAGTGATGCTGGCCGACGTGGCAGAGGGCTGTATGGAGGGCAGCTGACTTGGCAGAGACCTTGCACATCAACGTGAAGAACAAGGCTACCTCTGTAATAATCACATCATGTTTTTGGCGTTTTGAACGTCCTTTCTGACACTAGTGACACTTGTTAGCGTGATGCTGGCGATGGGGCCACTCAACAAACATTTCTCAAGCCCTTGCGATGAGACAGGCACTGTTCTAGGTACCAGTCAGGAGTTCTTGCTCTCATGGGCCTTCATTAAAGGAGTGTGAGACAGACAATAAGATACACAGGGAAAATGTATAGAGTATTAGTGACATGAGCCATGTGTCAAGAAAGACAGACATGGGACGGGGTGTGGAGGGTTGGGGAATGTGATTTAAAAAATTTTTTTTGTGTTTATTTTTGAGAGGGACAGAGCATGAATAGGGGAGGGGCAGAGAGAGAGACACACAGAATCCGAAGCAGGCTCCAGGTTCTGTGCTCACAGCTCAGAGCCTGACACGGGGCTTGAACTCATGAACTGTGAGATCATGTCCTGAGCCGAAGTCAGACGCTCAACTGACTGAGCCACCCAGGTGCCCCCAGGGAGTATGATTTTAAACAGGGCACACCAGGCCAAGCACGGCCCGTGGGCCACCCCTAGGACTCTGGCTTTTGCTCTCGGTGGGAGGGGAGGTCACTGCAGGGCTGAGCCAAAGAGTGACAGGCTCATTCTGACAACAGGGCGGTGGGGGACGGGGGGGGGGGGGGGGGGGGGGGGGGGGGGTGGTTAGTGGTGGTGGTCAGCAGGCAGGTGTGATAATCCAGGCCAGGAGAGGATGGAAGCCAGTCCAGGGTGCTAGACGGGCGTGGAGGTGAGGGGGGAAGGGAAGGCCCCCAGGATTTGGGAACAGATAGGATATGGGCTCTGACAGACGGAGGGGTCAGTGAGCCTGCAAGGTTTTGGCCCAGATCCTAGAGGACATCGTCTGCCTGTGCTGTGGGCAGAGTGCGGGAGCCCGGGGCTGCACAGGGTTTGGACAAGCCTGCCGGAGCCGGGCAGCGTCCGCGCACGGGGAGCTCAGGAAGGGGTCCGGGCTGGAGAGAGGATGACCACAGGCTGGATGAGGTCACCCGGTCAGGGGGCAGAGGAAGGATGGGGGCGGCAGTGACACAGGAGGCCGTGGGGTCCAGGAAAACAAGGGAGCCATTTGTAGAAACACCCCACACCTGTACAGGTGCTTCGCACACGCTGGCTCAGTCCTTGAGGAGCATGGTCCCTGAGTGTCCGCTTGTCACATCGGGAAAGGACGGTGGAAGAAGGATAAAACCCCTGGCCGCATGGGTGGAGAGGCCGTGAACCCACAGAACAGAACTCAGACATCAGTGTCCTGCCTCCAGATCTGAGTCTGCTCCCACACCCCCTCCTCCCTTCCCGGCCCCGGCCCGGCCGCAGGGCCCCGCCCGCCCCGCTCACCGTACTTCTGCTTGAGGAACAGCGAGGACCCGCAGCACTGAAGCTCCCCCTTGGCCATGATGGCCACGCGGTCCCCCAGCAGGTCGGCCTCATCCATGAAGTGCGTGGTGAGCAGCACGGTGCGCTGGCTCTTGTGCTGCTGCAGCAGGTCCCAGATGGCC